ACTCTTTTAACCGAAGGTCGAACTTTTCTACCCATTTTTCATTACTAGCCCCGAAGTGCTGCAACTTTCCATCTTCTACACTGTTTCACTGTTAGTCTGTAGAGCAAAATGGGCGGGAGAACGAGAAAACGTTAAACTTCCGTCTCAGATGCGTTCAGACGCATGACGGCAATGTCCAACTCGGTTCCAAACCTTTGTATAGACTGCTGGAGTTCAGTTTCAGCGAGGCCAGAAAAGTGCCATCTGCGAAAAACAGCTTTCTTGTCTCGACCTCTCTTACGCTGATACACTAATTGCCCAAGCAGTGCCTAACTATTCCACCATTGTGCAATACAAACAGTAGAGAGGACAGAATGCAGTCTAGGCGAAGACTAGTGCCAACATCGAAAGGTCTTGACTTAGCGCCGTTTCCTTTGACGCTGCACCTGTCATCAACATATAGTGATTGATAAGTCCATAACAACTGACCACAGTCCATAACTTACCAACCGCGTTCGTAAGCTGGCCCAGAAATTATTCCGCGGAATGTAACTATTGGCATTTTCTAATTCCACAAGGCACACTGTACCAGTTACCATACCGGAAACTATTAGGAAATTCTTTTCTGACCTCTAGGCAGCAGTCCAACCCGTTCGAACCAGCAACGTTTGACAGCAGCCCTGAAAAGGAGATTTAACGGAGCTTGAACTTGGTTTTCGCATAAGCGGTAATCAGCGCGATCTGTTGAAAATGCGTTAGATGTTGTTTGCAAGTTTCGCCTTTGTATCCGTAGAAGAAAATGTTTTTCATTTGATTCTCTAATTGCGCCTGCCACCAAGTCGTCGCATAGTACTCCTTCTCCAACATCGTGGCATGCCAGCAACAACTTGATGATCATCTGAGAGTTCTGCGCCTCTCTTAGCGGGAACACGCATCACAGAGCGTCGTAAATTCAGAGGACACGCTCATAAAATCGATCATCGACTTCTCTGCACAAGCTTCCCTGTACCACGTATGCCGATGCACGCTTCGATGCTCAAGGAAGGTGTTCAAAATAGACGTCTAAAGTTTGCACAAAACCGCAACAGCTTCATGTCATTATTGTTAAAGTCAGTAATATCCTTCTTTCTGATTGCGCTTTTTTCCGTTTCCAGCATCTGCTCTGACATGTGCATTAAAATATCCCATTAGAATGGGGGACACAATAGTAACCATTTCGTACAGAGCACATTTCACTTCCTCAAGGAATGGCTTATATTAACCCTCCAGTTTAGACGAACAAGGTCAGCGCTTTAGGCTGTTGTTGATTCAGACGGAGGATTATCATCAATACCTGCTTGAGCGCGCGTCACGAAGTCGACACCCAAGTAGGATAAGTTCTTTCCGCAGAGGTTCGGACTTCCGGAGTCTGGTTGCATCGATGACGATGGTGCAACTGTATCGAGCTGTCACCTTTAGACGTCATCAACTAGATCCTACTGTTTCTATATGAAAATATGCCCAAATTTTCGACTACCACTGTCGGAATTATTCTCGTGGAGCCATAAGTTTCGTGTTATATTTGCATCGCGCTCTCTGCCTCATCCATTTAGAACTGGTTGCGGACCGTTGCTTATTATTATTTTCGGCATCGTTTTTTCGATATTTGGCAACTGTTAGCGTGCTGTTATACTCCCGGTTGCCAGAAGGCGGTGAGCAAGTCATCATCGCCAATATTTCGCATTCTGCCTCAGTCCATTAACAGCGGCGCAGCCCTTGGTTACCGGGCCGACGACCAAACCCACATAATTTTTGATGAGAGCAATATCATGAGTAGTGGAGGGGGAGGCTAAGTTATACAGCAACCTCGCCAAGGCTTCCATTCCTCCTATTTTCTCATCCGGGCTTGTGACCGGCAACGACGGAATTTTGTTTTACATTTCTTAAAAAGAATATTTTGCAGTTTTCGTCGTGCAAATTCGGTATTAGTAACTTTAAGATACACATTTTTGATGCTGAGCACAATGTTTGTTGGTTGTCTGTCACCGTCACCAGTGAGGTCCCCATAAGCTTCGCAGATGCCTCAAGTTAATGATGTATGACTTATAATATGATATTACTGCAATTGACTCAATGTGCCACAATGAACAGTGCTTTGGTAGATCAGTAAAAAAACGTACATATAAAAAAGATAGATGCATATATCGTTTTCAAAAATCATTGATCCGATGCGCTGTCAACTCCTTCTGCAAGATGCCCGTTTTATTAATAAGACTCTGACATAGGAAATTAGTCACTTAAGGATATGCGTACATGTAGCATTTGCAAACAATGGGTGATCTCTTGTTCGTTTTATACCATCCTAGGGCGCGAACCCCCGAAATAAGCAATAATTTTCTTACGACCAAATATTGTACGTTTCCATAATAAAGCAACTGTGTTTTTAAATATCTTACTGGTCCTGAAAATCTTTTACAGAACTCAGAGAGAAACAAGATCCTTCTATCCATCGCTGGCCGCAGGACACTCAGAGATGATCTGAGGAAATGTTGCTGTGTTGAGAGCCGCAGCAACAACGGATCAGCGGCAAAGTAGATCACGTAGAAGGTGCTTAATTTATCGTTTGCCCCATACCGACTTAACGCGATTAGTCCGTGAAAAATATGATCGTATCTACAGCTGTTCTGGTTCGATGTTCTACCCGAAACTTGTGATCGCCATCACAATCCAGGTGTTTCTCTTATCCTTCGCCCTCAACTACTATGGCTTAGACGGATTCGATAAGCTTACCGCCGTTCTGTGTCTATTCGCCC